GAACAAAAAACAGATGTTATGTATCTTGAACTAACGAACAACACTGTACCACTCACTCCTAACCTTCCTCCCTCCAATGAACGAACGTAACTGACCGTAAACGAGTGCAACAAAAACTAATATTATATCCCTAATCGAAGAAACAGATGAACATGGGAGAGCAATAGTTGCTGAAATATTTCATTTCGTATAAACTATACCCAAACTAGCAGAACGGGCACTAAATAAAATCGTTGTGGGAAATCAAGTGGAATGTGGCCAAAGCAAAACATGACTGGAACAAAATGTAATTGAAAATTACAGTATTAAAGATTGTCATGGTCCAAAGTGTGTATTCTAGAAGTCATAATCCCTAAGCAGTTAATAGAATAAAGTTTGGATGGGGAAATCGGACGTAATATGATATGGAATGACATGGACGTTTTAAATGATTTAATCACTGGAGAGTTTTCATTTTTTTTTGCGAAAAAATAAAAAATCGGAAAATTAAAATGGATTATGGCAAGTCAAGCGAAAGTAAAATAAAATTAACAAGTTTACAAGCAAGTAGTAAACAAAAATATACAGCAGTTTATACTATCTTATATATTTTGGAAAGGAACGAAAGATGATATTCACTTAGTGTCAAGGAAGACCTATAGAATCCTCTTATTAAATGAAATGTGAACTAAAAGGTGAATGTAAAAATGCTGCAGGAGTTAACATTTTCGTACGACGTTATACCTGGTATACGGAATTTTAAGGGTTGGCAGCCTTTATCTCAAAACCACATGATATTTAAAGCCCTAATGAATTCGCGTATATTAAAGGACATTTCGCATTCTATTGCAGAAAATAAATAAAAGTGTATTTTAACAAATCTCCTCTATACTGACAAGGCGAAACTATTTTTTTATTTTTTTTTGAGTTCTGAGGCAAATTGTTAATAACAGAAGGAGGATTAGACTTCATCAACTTCAGACTTATTCCAAAGACATTACATTGTTTACAAGCGTACAAAAGCATTTTGGTGAGAATTTTCCAGAAAAAAAGTTATTCGTAATGGAATTCAAGCGTGATAGTGTGATGTCTTTATATTTGGCTAGAAAACCACAGGTGGCTATCGTTAGAGCATTCCAGCATTTAAATGTGAATAAATCTTTTGTATTTCGTACCATCGCTCGCTACTGTGATACTGGTAGCGTAGCCCGACGTCAAGGAAGTGGACGGAAGACAACAGCACCATCAGCAGAAATGATTGGAAAAGTAAAGAAGCGACTTGATCGAAATCCGCGTCGCAGTGGCCGAATAATGGCTCGTGAGCTGAATCAACATATCGCAATATTCGATTCGGCAAATATTGAAAATGAGCTCGGAGTAAAGCCATTGACATTCCCAAAAGTGCAAGAACTCACACGGCAACAGAAAGCAAATAGACTCAAAAGAGCTAAAGAGTTGCTTCGCTTGGCCGAAAGTGGTGAACTACCGAATTCGGTTTTCTCCGATGAGAAAACATTCGTGTTTACTTGCCAAAGAGGTCAGCTGCAAATGTGCTCCTGTGGTTGCCCACCAGAACTCAAGCGCCGGCCATGGTGATGGTGTGGGCGGCCATAACAGGTGTTGGTCGCCCTCCCCTCGTATTAATCGACCGTGGCATCAGTATAAATGCCGAGTATTATCGCAATATATTATGGAGGGTGTATTAAAGCCTTTGGCACTCAAACATTTTGGCTGCAGATCTTGGACATTCCAATAGACCGGAGCACCATCGCACTCAGCACGCGTCACCCATGAATGGTTACATAATAAGGTTCCTCGCTTCATTTCCAAGGCACAATGGGCACCAAAATCTCCGGATACCAATCCGTTGGACTATTTTGGAAAGCAAGGGTGGCACTAAAAAATACCAAAGTGTCGATCAACGCAAGCAAGCGCTTCGCCGGGAATGGGCCAAAATACCGCAGAGCAACATTTGGGTAGTATGTGACGGTTTCATTAGCCGTTTGAAGGCCACAATTCGTGCCAAATGTGACAAATTAGAACAAATCTAAAGTTATTCTACAATTGGATGCTATTTTCGTCATTTCATTCAATAAACTAAAAAAAGGAAAAATTATGGCGTTTGACTTTGTTGCAGTTTTTTTTATCTCACCCAGTGTGTCGACAGTTTGCTCATATCAATTTCTTTAAATAAAAATTATTGTAACTCAATACTTGTCTATTGTTTTCACTTAATCTTTAGAAATAAGCCACAGAAGTCTGGTATTTTTTCCTTTTTATACCCTACACCACATGTATTATGTCTTAGTGCGATTGTTTCTAACAGGGAGAAGGAAGCGTGATAGATCCATAGTTACTTCTGAGGATATTCATAGAATCACTTTCCACGTATTCTTGTGAACAAAATGCAGGTCGCATTTATTATCCGATTGAAATGCAATTTTGCAAACAATATTTTTTGGCCCAAGGACTAACCCCTATTGAAATTGGTGATAATCGGATCACATTTAGATATAGCTCCCATATATCTTCAACCGATTTCGGGTTAATTGTGCACCAAATAGCCAATATAAGTCCAAATGACCTGATTTTGGTACATCTGACTGAATTCAATCTAGAAGCATATACATCAGATTTGTTTTATCCGATTTGGGGTTTTAAGTCCCTCACATGCATAATATGCACTCCATAGCAATGATATTTGGTACAAAATGTTAGATACATCCGAAAAATACCTCTGATCGGTTCAGATTTGAATATATCTTCCACATATATCTTAAACCGATTTTGGGTTAATTGTGTGGCAAATGGTCAATGTCAGTCCAAATACCTTAATTTCGGCATCGAATTCAGTCTTGAAGCATGTACACCAAATTTTGTGAAAATCGGCTCAGATATATGTTTCATTAGATTTGGGGTTTAAGTCCCTTATATTCGGAATATGCATGCGACAACAAAGATATTTGGTATAGGATATCTTATAGAGCTCGGAAATACTTTTGCCAAATTTTATCGAGAACGACTACGATTTGGATATTGATCCCATATATATCCTTAATCCGATGTCAAGTTTATTGTGCAAATGACGGCTAATATCAGCCAAAATAGAGTGAATATAGCGAAACTCGGCTCCGATATATATTTTTATACCCTTCACCATTCGTAAATGGGCCATGTCGGTCCGCGTTTTCGTGTAGCCCCCATATAACGGTACCTCCCGATATTCGATATTTTCATGGTTTTAGCGACATTATTTGCCGGAATTATTTAAAATTTCGTATATGAAGTTCGTAATGGGTGCTACAGCATATGACAACAATTTTTGTATGCAGGTCCAAGTCCTCGTATAGCCCCCATATTACGACACTTCCCGATATTCGGCATTTTGATAATTTCAGCAATATTATTCACCGGAATCTTTTCAAATTTCGTACTGGAAGATTCTAATGGGTAATACATCCTAAGACAGAAAATTGTCTGTGCATGCCCACGTCTTCGGTACCTCCCGATACTCCTTATTTTCATGATTTTTGCGACATTTTTCACCGTAATTGTAACAAATTTCGTATTTGAAGTTCGTAATGGGCACTACAGCCTATAGCAAAAAAATTTGGTATACAGGTCCACGTCTTCATATAGTCGCCATATAAGGGTTTGCATTTAAGTGGTAGTTTTCGGATTTTTTTTTTTTTTTGAAATTTTTCAATTTCCTTCGAAATCGTGGAGGGTATTATAAATTCGTGTATTAAAAATTCGGTTCCCTCGGAAAGTAAACTATAACTGACCCATAGCCCAATGTTGATAGGGGATATGATCCACTTCAAATAAATTCTTTTGTTGCGGGAGCTCTACTACATGCATGGTGGTGTTGGGTATCGTATAGTCGTCCGCTTTTTGACTTTCTTTACTGTTTCTTTTTTTGTTTTATTTATTTTTTTTTGCAAAGCCGCTATTATTAGTCTGTTGGTTTTGAACAAAAAATATAAATATACGAAAGGAAAAGGTGCTAAAAATCCTCAGTTATTAGTCGGATTATTAGTGATTTTTTTTTTTTTTTTTTTTTTTGGGTGTATAGGCTTCTTTTTTTGAAATTTCATACAATTCAGTACTTAAATGAATTCTTGAATGTCTTATAAAGACATTATAGAGGATTTCAATGTATACAGGATGAGATGAAAAAACAGCAGCCAAATTCAGACAGCTGACAAGCGCTTCGCCAGGAATGGGCAGCGTGTGACGGTTGCCAAAGTTGACAAATACGAACAAATCTAAACTTATTCTAAAATTTGATGCTATTTCCGACATGTTTTTGTTTTTCATTCAATGAAATTAAAAAAAAAAATGTAAAAATTATGGCGTTTGACTTTGTTGCTTTCTGACGATTTTCCTCTTCTTTCTAAATTCGTACGCAATTTTCGCACACATTCTGCAACATTACCATGATTTTCAAAGTAATGTCGTAATATGTGCCAGCGTTGTTCAATGGAATACACAACAATATTCAGTGGAAGGATGAGACTAATTTTATTTCAAATAAGACACGAGCTAAGTTTTACCATTCACAAAATAAGCACTCGTTGAAAGAAAAATGTTAGATAGTTAGAATTTTCATATAGTTCTTGAAAAGATATTTGAAACATCCAAAATGTGTTTAAAATTCACCACTATTTGTTTTGAAGCTTGATAGTCCATAACGAATGTCGTGTAAAATAATATAAAGTGTTCCGGCGGTTCTACCAATGGGTAAACGTGTCCCCAATACTATATTTTCCTTCTACTTCCAATATATTTAGCAATAAATGTCCGTATTTGATTTTAATTACAAATTCCCTCGAAACGCATTTAACTCACTCAAACGAGAAAGCCATTAAAGAAATCGTGCTTCCAACCGCTGTTTAATATTTGCTGTTCTGTTCTTTGTCGTCAAACGAACGATTACTTAACATGAAATTGTCTCTTTGACAACATTTAGCATTAATTATCCATCTCTTTGTTTTGCTTTTTTTGTGATTTATTTCCAGACGGTTGAAGACCTTGAGAATCGCTGCATGGAAGCAGGAATTGAAATCGTTACAAGACAATCATTTTTATCCGATCCAACTGATGCTGTACGCAATTTACGGCGACAGGATGCTCGTATTATTGTTGGTCTCTTCTACGTGGTGGCAGCCAGGCGAGTGCTCTGCGAAATGTACAAACAGCAGCTGTACGGACGGGCGTATGTGTGGTTTTTTATAGGTAAGTACGGAGATATTTTATGTGTCCTGTGATATAGGGCTTAGGTGCAATTATGTGATGGACCAATGAATAAAGGCCTAGCAGACTAGGAATTGCACTACAATTTATTTACACGAGAAGATACGAAAGTGCCGCAGAAACTAAAGTTATACTTTAGGCCAGGGCCGCACACTTATGTTCTCCTATTTTTTTACTCTCTGATTACATTGTTTTAAATTACCCAAATTTTGAGAGTGGAGAAAAATACTCATTGCTTCAGGGTCTGAATTTCTAAATTCTTCTATTTTTATACTCTCCACCATACTATGGAGGGTATATTAACTTTGTCATTCCGTTTGTAACTCCTAGAAACACTCATATCAGACCCAACAAAGTATATATATTCTTGATCAGCGTAAAATTCTAAGTCGATTTAGCGATGTCCGATTGAGATAGACGGCTAAAATTTTGCACACATGATTATTTTTCCAGTAGGCTGGTTAAGTTCGTAAATGAGCTATGTAGGTCCACGTTTTCATATAGCCTACATATGACGGTACCTCCCTATATTCGGTATTTTGATGATTTTAGCGACATTATTCATCGGAATTGTTTCAAATTACGTACTTTGAGTTTGTTATGGGAACTACAGTCTGAGACAGAAAATTGTCTATGCGGGTCAGTTCTTCGTATAGGCCCCATATATCCCTATACTCGGTATTTTGACGATTTTAGGTACAATACCCACCGAAATTGTTTGATATGTGGTGTTTGAAGTTCGTAGTGGATGCTACAGTCTGTAACAGAAAATTGTCTATGCAGGTCCAGGTCTTCGCACAGCTCCGATATAACGGTACCTCCTCATATAGGATGTTTTGATGATTTTAGCTACATTATTCACCGTTTATTTCAAGTTTCTTATTTGAATTTGGTAATGGTTTATGAAAAGCAATGCCTATGTAGGTCCACGTCGTATAGACCCCAATATAAGGGCTATATTCGGTATTTTTAAAATTTTAACAGAATTTGTTAGGGATTTTATTTTTTTAAAATTTCCAAATTCGTTGCAAATGTTGAAGGGTATTCAAAGTTCGGCCCGGCCGAACTTACTGCCTTTTAACTTGTTTCTTAATCAGCAAGATTAATTAGTTGTTGTTTCAACTTTTTGCCTTAAAACTACATCTATTGGCCATAGCCTTTGCTCACATGAAATCAGGTAGCTACCACCACCTATAACATAAATTTTCATCAAAATTTCAAAATAACTGAAATTGGTCACGTTCTACACGTATTAGCTATAAAAATTTAAATAAACTTCTTCACCTTCTATACCCACTCACATAGCCAATAGCATCAAACTATGCCGATGCGATATAAACTCATTTCACTAAAGACATCTACACATCCAGTGGGGGTTTTCTTGATATTCCCACAAATCCACATCGCTCCTACACACACACGTTGAAACATATTCTACTGTTCCCATTCAAATCAATATATACTTCGATTTGTAAATTCTAACCGCAATATGGTTTGACTTGTGCGTTGTTCAATTGCTTTGCGTTTGCCCCATGCATACGGATTTAGTTTAAGTGGCTTAGCGATGTCTGAAATTAAGCGCTTTCATGGTATTGAGAATATGCAAAGTAGGTAGATGCTGCTTTCTAGCTGAGTAGTATTAAGCCAATATTCTATTTGAAGGTATGTTTGTTAATTTGTCCTCAATCGGTTATTTATCTCATTTGAAACAATAATTAAATTTTCCTAAATGTGGGGTTTGAAAGAAAAAAATTGTGAATGATTGCAGTAATTATGTTAGGAATCATAAAAAACGGGGAAAGATATGATCGTTTTGATTTCAGGCTTAATAGACAAATTTAAAGCAAACAATCTACAGTATGTGTACCAATAGTGTGCACTTTTAGGCTTTTTAATATTTCAATCTTTCGACATTATGAGTGAAAAATAAAGTCGTTCAGATTCCAAATTTTGTTTAGTTTACGAAATAATAAACAACAATTGAATTTATTTTTATTAAATTGGCAAAATTTGCAATTTTACTAAAATAGTAGTTTTTTGCCAGTAATCGGCACCATTTTCCAATACTCGGCATATCTATTTGCCAGTAGTCGGCATATGGTAAAAAATATTATTTTGTATATTTTTTTTATTTCAAATAGTATAAAACAATGCTATTTACTATATTCACAGTACTAATTCACAGTTTAATTAACTAGTTTCGTTTTTATATAGTGTTTTATTTAATTATCATATAGGTAAAAAATCAAGAATAGTATGGTTACCTCCAGTAACGTATGGATTTTCAATTAAAATAAAAATGAGATTAAATAAAAAAGTACCTTTTTTATATTTGGAATTTTGTGAATTAATATTTTTTCTTTAGATAACCAACATTTTTTTTTAAAATGCCACCGCTATCTAAAACGTCAAATAGCTGATTAAAAAAAAAAAAACTACTTAATTTTGAAAAGTTGGTCAAAAAGCACAAGGCAGTTGCACAAAAGCAACGGCCGACTCAAAACTATTTTTATTTTTTATTCGAGTAGTTTTTGGATTATTTTTTAATACTTTTCTCAAGTTTTGGTGAAGTAGGTCAAAAATGATATTTTTCTAGTAATTGGCACCCCCTGCCGGCTACTGGCAAATCTCGTTTTTTCTGTTCCTAATGTCGGCATTAAATAATATAAGAGAAAAATGCTTGATTGTGTATTTTTTGAAGTTTTAAAATGATTTTTAGACTGTTATTTACTATTATAAAATATTTCTGATTCCAAAAGTATTAAATTTAATTTACTTAAATCGATTATTAAGTTGACGCCACCACTAATTTTTTCTTTACAAACAAGCACTATCGCACGCGTTGGAAGACACTCACTCAATTAAATTGAAAATTTAGGTTTATAATTCCCAAATTAAAGCCTATTTAGTCAAGTCATTATAGGATGTGTCAATTATTATGTTTAAACAAGTTAATAAGTATCGGTCGGTTTTGCCGACAGATATATACCCTCAGTCAAGGTACGATTATTTAAAAATATTTCGACTTCTGTCATGATTATTGAAATATTTAACCCCTTATGGAGTAGGTTCCGAAAGAATGGGCCAATATTGGCAATTTCTTATCGGATCTAAATAAATACGATATAAATATTGCGACTTGCCAGGTTTGGATTATATTAGTAACTTTCTTCACTTTACATGACATATGTGATAATTTTTAGAAAATGTTAACATGTGCAAGTGGTACCGAAGTATTTCATTTTTATACTTTACCTAATGCAAATAAAAAAATTGGTATGCACAAAATTATAAGGAAATCGAACATTTATATCCAATTTATCGGAAATCATAAATTCCCTATTCATCTCAGGTTTCCGGTTAAGGGAGAAACATTTAGATATAGCAATTTATAAAGAATCCCTGACTTGTTTCGCAAGTTATGACAAATACGAGTATTGAAAATTGTAACCCTTTGTCAGTGAGGTACCAAAAGGGGTTCACAGATATATATCATCTGTACAATACATATTGTATTAGCAAAAATGTTTGTATGTGTAAAGAGAGTTGGATGCTTTCGCTTTCTTTGGACGTTTTGTTTTTCAAAATCTTGAACCCTATGTGGTACAGGTAGCAAAAAAATGATTGCGATCTCTACCATCCTTTCAACAGATCTTGTGTTGATGGAAATATTGAGATGTACCAATGGAATGGAGTCAGATGTTGATTTCGCTTTTTACGAGCTTCATGAATATTCAAAATTTTGAGCCTTTGTTGGGGAGTTACCAGAAGGAGTGGACCGATACATCCCATAGAAATAATGGGATGTGTGAAATATAAAGAGAACCTAATGCTTATTTCGGATTTTATAAACGTTTTGGTTATTCAAAATTTTGACCCTTTGTGGTGGAGATACCAAAGGGAATGATCCGATCTCTACCTTTTTATAACAGATCCTGTGTTGATAGAAATTTTCAGGCGTGCCAAGCCTAAATGGAAGCGTATGTTAGTTTCGTGTTTTATGACCTTAATGGATATTCAAAATTTCGACCTTTTGTGGGGAAGGTACCAGAAATAGTTGACCGATATATTCCATCTTAACACCAGACGTTTGATCACATTTTATAAGAGTTATAATTATTCAAAATTTGTGGGGGAGGCACACCAGAAGTAGTGGACCGATATTGCCCATCTCAGAACTTGATCTAAGCTAAACGATGTAACAAGTTCCAAATCGAGAGTTATCGTGCGAGACATCGACAGACAGACGGATGGACGGACGTCGCTAGATCGACTCCTGAAACGGATTCGGTTCAAAGAACCCTAGGGTCTAAAACCGTTATTTCGAGTAGGCACGTTTTGACCGTATCAAATGAATATACCCTCTCCAGCCATATGGCTGAGGGTATAGAAACATATGCTAGTGTGTGATAGCAAGAGATATGAGTCATATGTAAAATGGCAATTTTGACGTACACACGGAAGTACGCATGGATAAGTGACAACATATATGTAAAACCCTTATCGTCTGATAGCAGCTTTACGTAAACAATACACACCACAATGATCCTAACACCAAAATGCATAACTCCTATTCTATTCCCACACAAAATGTCATATTTGGAACCACTTAGTATTTTTCATACACTTATTGTACGCATTTCCACAATGACCTCTTTTAACATTAAATTTTTATATTCCACCTTTATCCATTCACTACAAACCAAATTGAAACAAACTTAATAGAATAAAAGACAATTTTTAGACTTAGTCCACATCTCTAAAACCACCTCCTTATATCAACCCTACGTTTACATAATAGTATAGTACCAAATTTAGTGAATAGTTTGGTACTCTTATTTACGAATTTCCCAAAACAAAAAAAAAAAAAAAATATCCCACACAACATCAAAGACCATAATTCCAGATTTCCAGCCCTATGCTTCCCCAAATGTAAAATTTAAAACCCTTTAGTGTACTTCGTACTTTTAGTACGCATTTTT